CCCCCCTCCCCCCAGCCACCAGAAGCTCCTGCAGCAGCCCCACCCTTCCCCTCCCGCAGGCTATCTGCTGCCCTCAGGAGCACTCTGCTGGCTCTGCTAGCGCTGCAGGAGGCTGGTTTTCTCGCTTCTCTCCCGGTTATGGCAGCCAGATCGCCTTGCACAGCCAGCTCTGATAGCCTGGCCGTGGGGGGCACCCCGTCAGCAGTACTTGGATCTCTCCCACCTGCCCCTCGTTGCCTCATGGCTTCCTCTGCATCCTGCCAGCCCCCTGGGGGTTCCACTACAGGCTGTCTCCTGCCACCACCTCCAGTTGGTCCTTTCTTCGTACGCCCTGCAAATTCCTCTGGCCAAACTAAGCATGGCTCCGCTGTGGGGGCCATACTGCACAGCAGACCTGTCACACTCGCCCCTCCCCCAGCCCCGGCTCAGCATGTTGCAACGTCACCCCAGGCAGGAGCATCCTTGCAGAATGGGCCGTGCTTACCTGCTGCTGGCTGGCTGGAGTGTCCTCCCAGCCCGTGAGCAGCGAGGAGGGGAAGGAGCCGGTGCTGTTGCTTACCCCTAGATTGGGAAGGCTCGCTGGAATGCAGCTGTGAAGGGAGTTTGTCTGGGAGCTCAGAGCAGGGATAACAGCAAAGCTGGTGCGCGTGGTCGCTCGCTCTTCCAGACGTAGGTTCAGATCCCAGCCTGGAAAGCAGGGGGGGGGGGTTTGTTCGAGGCTGGTCAATGAGGAAAATGCCTACCTTGCCAAATGCTGGGCCCTTCCCAGGCTCAGTCAGGCCTGAGGGTGCGCTTAAGACAGTCGTAGGCAGCCAGCAGTCCATCGGGGTTCTGTGTGCGGCCCGTGAGAGATTTTGTTTACCGTTGCCCACGTGCAGGGTTGCCAGATTCTGCTGGGTTCTGTCCATGCATTTTTTCCTACCCGTGTTACTAAAGTGATACGTGCAAAGCCAGAGCGTGCAAAGTGAGGGGCGTGCTGATTGCACCCAACACTGAGGCTATGTCTACACTGCAGGCTGCTTGCACAAGAGTTCTTGTGCAAAAGGTCTTCCACAAGAGCGTGTCCACACTGCCATGTGCTTTTGCACAAGAGATGTGCTTTTGCGCAAGAGCGTCCATGGCAGTGTGGACTCTCTTGTGCAAGAAAGTTCTGATGGCCATTTTAGCCATAGGGCTTTCTTGTGCAAGAAATTCATGTTGCCTGTCTACACTGCCTTCTTGCGGAAGAGCTCTTGCACAAGAGGGCTTATTCCTCGTAGGGAGAGGAATAACTCTTCCGGAAGAAGCCCTCTTTTCCGACACTGTACTGTAAATTTACTTGCGCAAGAACACGCATGCAGTTTAGACGCTCTGCAAGTTTTTGCACAAGAACAACTGTTCTTGCGCAAAAAGCCTGCGGAGTATAGGTAGCCAATCTGTAAAAGGCCTGCGCTCCCTCTGCGTCTAATCAAAGTGCTGCTACAGTCCAGTATAGGGATGTAAGTGACTAGTTGACTATCCAATAAGCAAAAGCTTATTGGATAGTCGACTTAAAAGCCGTTTCTCCCCAGCGCGGTCTTCTGCTGGCTCTTTAAAAATTAGAAGCACAGTGGGGGGACCCAGCTGATTCCTGGCTCGGGCCGGGTCTCCCCGCTGTGCTTCAGCCTTTTAAATGTATTAAGAACCTGCCATTTAAAAGGCAGAGCTGCAGTGGGGTTAGCTCCCAGGCCCAGAAGCTCACCCAGCTTGTAGCTCCTCCAATTATCGACTAATTGACCAGATGATGGAAAATTCATCAGCAAGTTGATTAAACTAAATTTAAGTTCCCTAGTGCAGTCAGCACCCCCTGCAAATTCTAGGCGCAGTTAGAAAACCTACCCTATCGTGGGAGGGGGTCTTGGTTACAGTCTAGTGGCCCGCTCCCTAGCCTAGGTTGGCCATTGCTGGCTTTAGATCTAGTAGCGAGATAAAGCCACAAGGGACTGTTATGCAGGAGGCCGGACTAGGTCATAACACGGGCTGTCCAGCTGTCCCTAGCATTCCGGTGTGGTAAAGGGTAGGGGTGTTCAGAAGCAGTTAACCAGGTAATGGTGTAACCCGCTGAACTCTTAGCAATGCCACGCAGCCAGCTCTGCAGTAGGAAGACTGGGCTGCAGGGCTGGCAGCCCGTGTGCGCCAGGAGCTGGCTCGCACCTGCTGACCTCGTTCCTAAGGCGCTGCGGCCTCTGCAGTGTACGCTTTATTCTGCAGAGCCCACAGGGCAGCAGCCAGCTTCCAATGCCCACGGGCTCCCACCTGCAGCCCCGCACTGTGGGCCTGGGAGCGGGGCCAGGAGCTGGCGTGTAACCGATAAGTCTGTGCGTATTGCTTTACCGTTTAAACGGTTCTACTGTTATGTCCTTAGTAAAGGGACAGAGCCGAGGGGGGCTGCCGTAGCAATAGCAGCAGTGGGGCTGGACTGGAACGGCATCAGGTCTAACACAAAGTTCACTGCCTCCCTGAAACTTGGACAATCCCTAGCCGGACTGGTCCCCCTAGCCTGGCAACTGGTCTCCGGACAGCGGCCAGTACCAGGTGCTTGAGAGGGAATGAACTGAGCAGGCCCTCGTCCCCTGAATGCCATATTATTTCAGCAGAGTCTTTGGCTTGGAAACCTGCAAATTCCCTTGCAGGTTCCCCGGGGGGGCTGTTTCCTACCCCCCAGAAACTCTCCAACCGAAACCGCTGTCTGAATGGCCAACGATTCGGCCTGCAAGCAGGGCCTTGGCTTTGTCCAGCCGCAGGATCTTCTAGTCAGTTTCCTCGCTCTCCAGGTGGGGCTGCCAGCCCCCTTTTCCATTCTGGGTTGCCCTGGTTTTGCTGGTTAACCACAGTGGGCTGCCCAGGGGCACAGAAGGGTTAATCCTGGGCCCATCAGTCACTTCCTTCCTTCCTTCGCTAAGTGAGATGCTCTGTGTCACTGGAACACTCTGTATGGAATTGGCAGCTGCTTTCCATACCGGCTTCCGCGGGCCGGAGTGTTTGTTTTATGAATGAAACGCGAGGAAGTGGAGGCTGCTGACTCACTCTCACACTCAGCCCTGACTCAGACTGTTTTGAGTGTTGCTTTAAAGAGAGCCGGGCGGAGGAGTGTGTTTCAAGGAATGCTGCTGCTCCGCCTCACGCCATGACTGTGGCACTGGGCCCAGGGCTCCTCCAGCAGTGCCGGCGAGGGCTCCTTGCCCGTTGTCAGGAGGGGGTGGGCCAGGGACAGCGTGCGCCCTCTTAGCGGGCGAACAGAGGTGCTTGCGAAAGGGGAGGAAGAGCACAAAGGGGTTGTAAAAGGGCCGGTAGGTTTCCAGCTGCTGCTGGGGCCCCTCTTGTGGCCTCCGGGAAGCATTACATCTAGCAGCTGGAGATGGTTTTTGTTGGACTGTTCCATGTCCGTGCCAGTTACTAGTATTTCGTGGTTTTGCTATAGCAGAGGCCAGACAACTACTTGGGAGCAGGGCCCTGCGGTGCACTGCGCCACATGAATACCTGAGACTGGCCCTGCCCACCTCTCCCGGCACAGCTCTCCTCCCCTGCCCCCGCCCTCCGTCCCCAGGCTGTAACAGGAATCCATTCCCGGGGCTGTTGGAAGCACAGAAACTGGGGGGGTTTCTTGGCAGAGGCGCTATTGCTGAATACACCAAGGCTACATCTACACCGCAGGCTTTTTGCACAAGAACGGCTGTCCTTGCACAAACTTGCAGAGCGTCTACACTGGACACATGTTCTTGCGCAAGTAAATTTACAGTACAGTGTCGGAAAAGAGGGCTCCTTGCACAAGAGTTATTCCTCTCCCCATAAGGAATAAGCCCTCTTGCGCAAGAGCTCTTCCACAAGAAGGCAGTGTAGACAGGCAACATGAATTTCTTGCACAAGAAACCCCTATAGCTAAAATGGCCATCAGAGCTTTCTTGTGCAAGAGAGTGTCCACACTGCCATAGGCAGTGTGGATGCGCTCTTGTGGAAGACCATTTGCACAAGAACTCTTGTGCCAAAACAGTTCGTGCGCAAGAAGCCTGCAATGTAGACATAGCCCAAGAGTCATGTTCTGTTGCAGTCATCAGTGAAAATGATTCGGGGGCTGGAGCGTGTGACCCACAAGGAGAGGCTGAGGGATTTGGGCTTATTAGTCTACAGAAGAGAAGAGCAAGGGGGGATTTGATAGCAGCCTTCCACTGAAGGGGGGAGAAGTGTCTAAAGTAGGGTTGTTTAAAAACTAGTTGACTATCCAATAAACATTTGCTTTGACCAGTCGGTTTAACTAGTTGATTTCCCCCATCATCTTGCTGCCTCTGAGATAGAGGCAGCAAAGGGTGGAATGGGGTACTTCAAAGTGGCAGTGCCGCACAGCTGTTGGCGCTGCCACTTTGAAACCCCAAGGCAGCATTTAAAAGGGGCAGTTGCTACACAGCTGATCTGTGGATCAGTTGTGCGGCGGCTGCCCCTTTAAAACTCCACTTCTGATGTTTCAAAGGGGCAGCTGCTGTGGAGCCTGGGGTCAGCTGGGAATCCCCAGCTGATCCCAGTCTCTGTGTAGCACTTCCCTGGAACCTGGGGAACACGGCACTTCCTCAGCTCACGCCAGGCTCCTAGCACCATGCAATGTAGCATGGAGCCCAGGGTTGGCGGGGAACTCTGAGTCCCCTGCTGACCCCGGGCTCCATGGCTTTGAAATGCACAGGAGCCCCTGCTGGAAACACTTGTGCATTTCAAAGCAGGCACCCGCGTGCATCCTGGAGTCAAAGGGACTTCCTGCTGGCCTCTGGCTGTACGCGGAGTTCCACGTTCCTCCTTTGAAATGTATAGGAGCCCCAGCGGGGGCTCTTGTACAAAGGAGGAATGTGGAAGTGTCTATCGACTACTCAATGGAAATTCCAACTAGTAGACTAGTCAATTAACCGCATTTTAACATCCTTAGTCCAAAGAGGATGGAGAAAGGCTGGTCTCAGTGGGGGCAGATGGCAGAACAAGGAGCAATGGTCTCAAGTTGAGGCGGCGGAGGTCTAGGTTGGATATTAGGAACAGCTATGTCCCTAGGAGGCTGGGGAAGCACTGGGATGGGTTCCCTAGGGAGGGGGTGGAATCTCCATCCCTAGAGGTTTTTAAGTCCCAGCTTGACAAAGCCCTGGCTGGGTTGATTTAGTTGGGGTTGGTCCTGCTTTGGGCAGGGGGTTGGACTCGATGCTTCCTGAGGTTTCTTCCCACCCTAGGATTCTATGATGCTGATTAGGGCGTGACCTTGGTCCAATGAGTCTGTCTCTAGCTCATTGATAGCTATCAAAGCGCTTTCCAAAGACAGGTGGGGAAACCTGGGCAAAGAGGCGGAATGACTCCCCCAAAGCCAATGGCATCACGGGGATGAGAACCCAGGCTTCCTAGCTCACATCTGTGCCCTGGAGGGGCTTGGGAGCTTGAGTTGACATTGAGGCTCTTTAGGCTTCACGTGGCGACCTTGGAGTGTGAGCATTTGAAACATTCAGAGGTGGCAAAGGGCATGTCTAAAAAGGGCTGTGTGTAAGCTGATACAGCAGTAGATACGGCATCCTAAGGAATGCTCCTAGGCCAGCCATGGGCAAGCGAGTGGGCTATATGAGGAGCCCTCCATTTCAGTGGGCTGCAAGATTTTTGTAACCAAGATGGCCTCGTGGGATAGGGCAGTGTTACGAACTGTGCTTGTGTACCTGAAATTTGCGGGGGGGTGGTGCCAACAGAACCATAGGAAACCAGCAGAATCTGGCAAAGGCCCACGTGGGCAAGGGTAACAGAATGTCTCGTGGGCCATTCACAGAACCCCGATGGGCCACGTGCAGCCTGCCGGCCACAGGTTGCCCACCGCTGCCCTACGCTGACCTGGAGACAGACGGCTCAGGGGCTTCCTCACTCCTCCTTCTCTTTCAGCAAAAGGACGAGGAGGAGGTGAACGTATCCCAGGAGTCGTCCGAAGAGGAGCAGTGAAAACGCTTGAGCCCGGCACTACCTCATCAATCAACTTACCAATTTCTCGTCACGTACTTGGACTGAGGAAGGAACAAAACAAAACAAAAATCCTAGGTGGGATTTTTTGTTTTTTTTTTCCCTCCGCAACTTTCTCACACTCAAAACAGCAGCAGCACTGGAGTACAGATCAAACCGACGGAGCAGCCGTCGCGCCGGCCGCCGTTAACGTGAAGGGAGAGAACGGTCTGTTTCACTTCCTTATTGGACAGGGTTAAACTTTAGCCGACTGATTTTACGTAGTTTCTTTTGCTCCTGGTGAAATTCACTGAGGGAAGGTTCCTTTAGCCCTTGTGACTTTGTCCCAACACGCTTCTTGGCAGGGAAAGGAGAGCAGGGGACCGGTTAGAGTTGGCTGTATAGTTGAGTTTTCTTTTTCTGTTTTAAACTAGTTGGAGACAGGTCTGTCGCACATGCCCCCAGTCTTCTTTCTGCACCCCTTGTCTCTGTTGCAGAGGTGGTCGACTTCCCAACCCAATGCTGCTGGTTCAGGAGTGGGAGGATGGTACGGTAGGTTTGGTATAAATGGCCTTCGCTCGGATGAATGCATGTGAATTCCTCCCCTCCCGCCAGTAGAGGCCAGGGGAGCAGTACGCTTTTGCCCTCTGCAGCTCATTTGAAGCGGTGCCCCACCTTTCAAGCTTCAGCCAACCCCCCTTGTAGAGGGGAGACCCTAAAGCTGCTGCTAGCATGCAGTAGAGATGAGCAGCAAATGCAGGGAGGAAGATGGGCTGGCTGAGAACAGCTCCCCCCTGAGTATTTCAAACTCCCTTGTTGCTCACGGCCGCAGAAGTGGCTGGCGTTTCCCTGGCTTGCCTCTGTTTCCCTCCACTGCAATGGGCCGGCCCGCCCTCCTCCACAGCTGGCCCGGAGGGGAAGATTTGAAGGCAGAGAGTTGAGAGAGCTTGAAGGAATCCCCTTCTCCTGAGTCCAACTCCAGCTGTGCTCCCCAAAGCCCTGTGCTAGCCTAGAATTCAGCAGAACCTTCATGCTGGTAGGTTTCCCCTTTGGGAAGCAGGGCTGTGCGTTCAGATCACGGTGGGGGGAAGCGAACGATAGCGACTCCCTGGCAGGGAGCAGGAGAGGCTCTGAGCCATGGCTGCGTGCTAATTGTTTCGGGTCAGCCAAGGCATGTTCTCTTAGGACGGGCATGTGACTGTGCCTACTATGCAGAACCCAGCTCTGGGTCTAGGACAGAAGATAATGGCTGTAGAGCAATGGCCAGGGATTCAGAACTGGGGCCTCCTCTGCCTCTGGCTGATCTGCACCAAGTCACTGTGCCTGTGTGCCTCAGTTTCCCCATCTGTAAGATGAGGATAATGATCCCAGCTGCCTTTGTAAAGTGCTGGGAGAGCTGCAGCTGAACAGCTCCAGGCAGGAGCTAGCAGGTACAGTGTTACCGTCACTTGCCTATGGAGCAGCCCGGGGCTGATAGAACTATCTCCTCTGTGCAGTCCGGAGAGCACCGCTGTGGCTTGATGCTGGAGCACGGAGCAGACCTGGTGCAGGTCCCAGCTGGCCATGGAACCCACCCAAGACACAATCGCAAGCCTGGAAGTAGGGCACTGCCAGCTTTGTTTGCATTACTCTCAGGCAGAGCTTAAAACTGCCCTGTTGCCATCTTGGGAAAACCTTCAAGGCTCAGTGCTCGAAACAAAAGGGTAATTGTTCTTCAGTTCCAGAGCCCACCCATCCCTGGTGGTCCTGGTAGCGGAGCACTAATGCTGTTCATATCCCTCCTTCCTGCTTACAGAAGCCGGCTTCCCTCTCAACAAAAGACAGGGGGCCTGGCTGCGCACCGTAGAGTTAACATTGCTGCCTTTTCGCTTCAAATTTCCCCCATCCCCGGCCTACAGGCAGTCTGCACCAGGATCAGCCTCGGAGTTTCTGCCACATAGAGGGGAACGCCTGCCAGGGGCGTTTTAGTTACACTTGTACTCTCTGTCCAGGTTTCAGTGGATTTCTTTTTTTAAAGTTTTTTTGTTTGTTTGTTTTTTCCTCTCCTTCCTTCACAACTACCTCTGGATAATTTAAGTTCCATTCTCTTAACCATAGATATGCTGCTGCTGTTACTGCTGCTCTACTGGTTACAACAGTGATATTAGTCCAACATGGTCTTTCTGGTTTATATTCCCCACACACACACACACACACACGCTTCCCTTCTCTGGCAACCATTTGGTTACAGGAGGGAGCCAAAGTCAGCTGGACAGGGTCTTTTTTTTTTTTTTTCATTTTAAAGCGCTAGGCTGCTCTAGTATGAAAAGGGACACAGCCTTTCATGAGGCGGGGTGAAGGGTTCCCGGCAGCCTTCTCCCCAGGCTTTCCCGCCAACGCTAGCAAAACATGGCCAAGCAGCAGGACTTCACCTGTTCCCCACCAGCCATTACTGCTTGCAGGTGGGGAAACCGCCTCCCTCCCCCCATCTCTCTGCCCCCGTGGGATTACCTCTCCACAGCCATGGCCTGAAAACTTTCCCCGGCTGCTCCACAACACTGAACGGGCGATGTTGCTGTTGAGAGAGAGGAGCAACCCAGGTCAGGTGTCCCACTGGCCCTGACTGGCAGAGGGCGGGAGGGGGGGGGGGGGCGGGGGGGGGGGGGGAGAGCATGCAGTGTTTGAGGGGTACGTCAGCAAGGCGAGCACCATAGCCGGAGGGAAGGGCGTCAGCACAACAGTGCTGCTTTCAGCAGGCGAAGGATGGGCAGGGGTGCTGTTCTTTTCTCATTAAGTCATACCAGGACGTTTACACTTCTCATGCGCCAGGCCTCACGGCTGGGGGATTAGACTAAGCCGGGAAGCACTTGAGTGTCTGCCTGCAATGGTCTCGGGCGGCCTCTGAGATCCCTTCGCTACACTCCATCCCTTTAGACACGACCAACTGCAACAGAGCTGGAGGTTATTGCTAGGAGGAAGCCCCGAGGAGTGAAACCAGTGAAAAGCACCTGTTCAGCGGGTGGGGGTTGGGGCACCCATCCATGTGGACGCAGCGGCTGGAGAAAGCAGGCAGGCAGTAGGAAGTGGGGGTTTTTTGGTCCATTGTTAAAGACCTTTTGGTTTCCTATTTGCAGTTACTTGAATAAAACATTTTATGGATGTTTCCAGCCTCCCTGTCTGTCCTAGTTGGTGGGTTGGTTTAAGAGCAGCACCGAGCCCCTGCCACAGATCAGCCGGCTTTCTACCTGGTAGGGAGGCCCTGCTTTTCCATTTACATACAGAGACGCTACCTCTACACTGGCACCCTTTTCCGGAAATGCTTAAAATGGAACAGTTTTCCGTTATAAGTATTTCCGGAAAAAGCGCATCTACATTGGCAGGATGCTTTTCCGCAAAAGCACTTTTTCCGGAAAAGCATCCGTGTCAATGTAGACGCACTTTTTTGCGGAAAAGAAATCTGGGCTGTCTACACTGGCCCTTTTCCGGAACAGTTTTCTGGAAAAGGACTTTTGCCCGAACGGGAGCAGCGTAGTTTTTCTGGAAAAGCACTGATGATTTTACAGTAGATCGTCAGTGCTTTTCCAGAAATTCAAGGGGCCAGTGTAGACAGCTGGCAAGTTATTCTGGAAAAGCGGCTGATTTTCTGGAATAAGTGGCCAGTGTAGAGACTTCAGGCAACTAGGTGAGTGCAACAGCACTGGACACATGGCCCTTCGAGCAAAGAGCCACAAGGAGGGCAGGAGCATGAACGTGGGCGGCAGCTGGTCGTAGCAGGACTCTAGGCAACAAGTCACTTCTGAGCACTCTTGGCCATATCCCCAGCAGCAAGGGATGTTCCTTCTGCATGTGACTCCCAGGTCTGTCAGCTGAGGCAACAGTGGTGCAAGCAGACTGGGATTTCTGGCAGCAAAAGGCTTCTCTTTCTCAGGCTGCAGAACATGTACAGTTCCACACAAGGCCCACTCTGTGCACTCTCCTTGGGAGTCCACAAACGCGGCAGCTGGGACCAGTGGGAACTTCGAGTCCCAGTCACTTGGAAGCTGTTTGCCCCACGGTAAAAGACATCTGACCCAGCACACAGGAAACCGCATCCGAACCCCGTCCCGTTAGAAGCCCAAGCACCGCAGAGTAAAAGCTGCACTTCAACAAGGCGCCCAAAATGACAATCCGTCATCTAGAGGTTGGCTAGCGCACGCGGACATAACACAAGCACCTCCGCAATCAAACAGCTCTATTGCTGCCCACTGCAGAGACGCCGAGAAAATTAGACACTCGCTGCCCCATGTAAGAGTTTCATTTTGTCAGAGACCTTAAATGCTGGGGGTTCATTGCAGCTGCGTAGCTAATGGGCGGCTGTACACATTTTGTTACGGTTGCCCAAATGCACGTTCCTTCTTCAGCTGCATTTATCGTGTGATCATCCCCCCTCTCCCTTGAGACACCAAACCTGCCAGGAGCTGAACTCGCCACGTGATCAGCACTTTCATATGCCACCCCTGTTGCTATTAGATCTCCACTTACAAGCACTAATCACGGCCAAGAACACCCGTGAAATGAGCGAAGGCAACTGGAGGGACGAGATAGTAGATATACTCGACAGGTATCGCTGACACAAAGTTGCAAGGCCCACTTTGTACGATACCCATTGTCAAACAAAAGAAAATGGCGAGGAGACAGCTAAACGGTCAGCATTAAGGTGGGCCACGCACCCTAGTTGAGGAGTGTGACCCTAACATTGCATTTCCTGGGTTTCTAACATTTGGGGGGTTCGCTAATGTTAATGTGCATTTGAATTACTAATGTAGGTCTGGAATTTGAGCAGGACTGTAACCCAAGATTGGTTTGAGTGGCTAAGGGCTGTGCAGTGTTGATCTCTATATATTTTTCAAGCTCCCTGCCACCCCGTTTGAAGGACAAACAGAAAGGGCCTTTTTACTCCAGGTTCACCCAGCTGGGGAGGGGAGAGATCTGGCACTGAGTCTCAGCCACATGCAACCGGCAGGCATGAAGCACTCAGTATTAGCACCCCTCTCCATGGCAGTAAGGGCAGGGGCAGTGGAGTGCGAGGAGCATACTGGGCATAAGGGATTCAGCAGACAGGGCCAAGCCCAGGACTAGCCCCTCACCAGTGGCCCTGACTTTGAGGCAGATGGTGGCGGACAGTTCTGCTCGGAGGACACAGTCCCTTTCCAGTCAGGACCTCCCAGTCCAGCTCTGCAGCTGACAAAGGGTTAACATCACACAAGCTGCCCTCCTTGCTTTAAGTGGCAAGACAAGCACTGCCCACGGAGTTCTTGCCAGACACACACACGCTCACAGTGCCTTTTTATTTACAAAACAAAGAGAGGCGCTACCGGTGAATGCAAAACTCCACAGCATAGAAAGAGCCCCCTTGCTGAACCCCTACGGAGTTGGGTTCTTTTACGATCCAATAGCTTTCGTGCTAGGATGAGGTCTCCTCCTTGGTCAATACATAAGGCCTCTTGGCTGAATGCAAAGACAGTTTTGCCCTGTTAAACACACCCTGTTTTCACTGCATAGCCAAACTGGACCCTCCCTGCCCTTAGGTGACTGCTTCGAAGGCACCCATGTGAACGGCCACTTGCAGGGCTGCAGGGAACATCCTCACTGTCAGCTAGTTCAAGATCACAGCAAAGACGCCATTAAATTAAGTATTCAAGTCCCCAGCTGCACAATTCAACAGCAGTCCCCAAACAGACGCACAATAATCAGGTTAGTGCCTGGGACTGACCCACCCCCCCACTGTAGCAAGCTAACACCCCCAGTACGTGCATAGATATATAGGCAGCATGGAGGTTTGGTCTCTGTGCAGTCTGCCGATTGGCAACACCAGAGCCAGGTTAGTTTTAAATGGCTTATACTGAAGGGGAGGCTGAGAAACTGGGTTTATTGGGGTTGAGTCTTTAGCCACCCAGCAATGAAGTTTCACCAACACACACTCAGGATCTACAGTCTCTTCGGTGCCTGTGTGGAAAGGCTCAGAGGGTTTTATATCCAGAACCAGGAGGAAGAAAGACCCTGTTCCTGGTCAAAGCGCGCAAACCCCAAACTTGGCCTATACCTTCAGTGCTTCGCCAGCAGGAACACTCAGGGGCTGCAGCGCGGGTCTGGCAGTGCTGAGGCGGCAGGGTTAACCCCCCCCTGCCGTGCCTGGTAATGGAAAAGGAGCAGAAAACGGGGAGAGCGACGAGGAGGGCGGAGCTTTACCAGTGAACCCCACGTGAGAGGATGCGAGGTTAACACAAACGGATGAAGGGTGGAGCTGGTGAGTACATCGCCCGGCCGCTGGTCTCCACGTGGCGTTACGCTTTCATGTCCATGAGCAGAGTCCGTTGGGGCTGGTATCCACCCCAGCCCTGCATCACCTGCAACAAACAGCACGCTGTTTATGTGCCTTCAGAGTACCCGCTCCTGCCAACCAGACACAAAAGCACGGTGGGGTTAACCTGTCGATCAGGCAACCAAGGCAGAGATTAAGCAGCCTGCCAGAGCTGTGGAAGGCACTGCCATCACAGCTGGGGGTGGGACTCAGGAATTCCCAACGTCCCTCCGCTGAGGCAGTGAAAAAACCCACATTGCCTGTATTACTGGGTGGGGGCTGATTCTCCTTCCCCACACCATGTGCCATGACCTGAAAACGAGCTGATGCACTGGCCATCGGTCCACAGCCGGAGGAGACACTCTGGATGCTGTCTGGCTAGCAAGGAGATAGTGGCAATCGGCATATCCCAATTGCAGGGAACAAGAGAGGCCAGATCAGCTGGAGTGGTCAGTTTCTCTCACGGAACATGCCTTAAAGTTCAGCAGAAGCCCAGGATCACAGGCCACGTTTCCTGCCCAAACAAGTTATTTTCAATGAATTTTTTTCCCCCACCCCGTAAAACCAGCACAGCCCAGCAGACCCAAGCCGTCTGTCTGTGCACAGAACAGGCAGATTGTGGGCTACTGCTGGGAAAACGTCACCAGCTTCTTCCGCTGGTCAAGGGATTCAGTCTCTCTGACCCAGTCCAATTACAGCCTCTGCTGAGTTTGCCAACAGAAGGTGCTCCAAATTAGCTTTGTGCAGCAGGTACATTTGCCTGCATGGAACAGGACTGATTCTACACCTCTATTTCACCAGGCGGGATCTGAACAAAAGCAATGCTACACAAAAGTAGCTTTTGCTACACAAAAGTAGCTTAGCAGTGCTACACAAAAGCAATGTAACTCAGAAAGGTGCTGTGGGCCGGTTTACAAGTTAGGTCAATCTAGTTACATCCCTCAGGAGTATGAACATAGTTAAGCTGACGGAATCGCCAACGTAGAATGCTGGGAGATAGATTGATTTAACCACGTCACCCCAGGCGTGGATTTGTCAACAACTTTTTGGGATAGTCCTGAACTTACTAAGACAACAGAGTAGGAAGAGGCAAGACTCGAACCCTTTTGATCTAAATTTCCCTCTAGTTTTGATCCGGTGCATCAGACTCGTGCCTAGGACAGCTGGCCTGAACAAGATCACGCAGCTTTGCTGGTGATCACTTCAGCGCTAACACGTCCCCAGCAATCAGCCACTCCACAAACATTCACTCTGAGTCACTGACCTAATTTCCAAAGGGCTGATGTTGTTTATCTACAACACTTGGCCTCTTCTCAACTCTCATCCATCGCCCCCTTTAAACTGGAGCTTGAGGCCTCACATTAGGTTTTGTGAAAACCGGGTGGTTTTGTTTTGTTTTTTTAAATCAACATAATTAAGTGAAAATTTCCCCTGCTGAATTTGCAACCCTAGCACTGCAGCCTTGGGCTACCACGTGAAAAACAACAGTGGGAAATTGACCTGTTTTTGTCATCCAAGTAGAGTGAAATGCAAGCAACATAAATGGTGGAAAGTCAGATCTGATCTCTATTTGTAATCTACAGGAGTATTAATTAATTTCTTTTACGATGCCATTTTTAACAGTTTAGGGCCAGGTTACATTGAATAGTTACGGATTCAAAATGTTCTACGCATTTCAAGTGCAGAACAACAACAATACAGTAAACTTCCGATAATCCGGCACCTTTGGGACCCAAGGGGTGCCGGATTATTGGATATGCCGGAGTACCAGAAGGGGGGCTATGAGGGGTTGGGGTGGGGGGGGGGTCAGTGAGGAACGGTGCAGCGTGGGCAGCACTCCAGCTGCTCTGCCCCCAGCTTCCCCAAGTCCGCCACTGCTTGAAACTGACCAGCGGCGGACTTGGGAAAGCGGGGGGAAGAGCAGCTCCAATTGTCCAGCTGGCCAGAGCACTTCCGGGTTCCGGCTGGTGCCGGACAATCGGGAGTGCCAGACCACTGGATGCTGAACAACTGGAGTTTTACTGTAAATGCTAAATTATTACACAGGGCTTTTAAACCGTAGCTCTCAAAGCTCATTACAAAAGTCAGATGATATCCCCATTTCACAGATGGGGAAAACAGAGACTACCCAGGCAGGTCAGTTACAGAGCTAAGCGCAGAACTCCACTTTTCTGACCCACAATTAAGTGCCTTATTCCCTGAGCTGTGCAGCCTCCTTTCACCCAGTGC